CATAAAACAATATGTGTACTACTGTTTCATGAGAAACTATTTGTTCTGTAAGTCTTTACCTGAAGTACAATTAAAAAAAAAAGAAGATTAAAAAAAAAAAAAAAGAGCTTCTGCCTGGCTCTTTCTCTCCTTTGAATCCCTCACTATGGGGAAAATCAGTAGCCATGTCATGAACTCCTGACAGTATTTCAACAGTGGATTGTATAAGCCAATCAGAAATAAGCTCTTTGCTTCTGAGTTTTGTCAATAAAAAGCCTGTCATTGTTTATGTCAATAGGGTAGGAACAAACCAGAAAAGGAGGGTGAGAATGGTTGCACAACCCAAAGAATGTAATCAATGTCACTGAATTGTACATGCAGAAACTGTTGAAGTGGAGTATGTTTTTCAATAACACCACCAACAACAAAATAAATAAAATTTAGGGAAAACAAAAACACGTCACTGCTAATACTTGGTGGAGTACTTTTCCATATGAGGTTTGGTGCTACCTGATTCGTGAATCTTCTGCCCGAATAAATCTTATCTAATAGACTAATCTTATTATTGACTCAGTTTCTTTTGACAGTAGTTAGGCTATAATTACTTTTCTCCTCTGCCTGGCCCGTAGTTAAGAGTGAAAAAAATAAATTTTATATGATATAATAATGGAGATACAAAGAAGGTGCCAATGTCCTTAAAGTACTACAATCGATAAGTATAATTATCAAGAAAATGGGGGACATGCTCCACAGACTGCTGATGACCTAGTAAATAACTCACTAGCACACATGATATCTCGGTGTGGTAGAAAAGGCCTTGCAGCACAGTCCCCTAGCCATCTCCTCTGAGGGCGCAGGCCGGGCTTCAGTACCTAGTACAGGCTCCCGATGAAACACAAGACAGAACGATGAAAGAACTGACCTAGGAACCAAGTTCCATCACTACTATTTTATTCCAAACACTTCCTCTCAGGATTCACAGATCTCTAATCATGGATTATTCTCTCCTGTAGAGGGCAGAAGCGAACAGGGAAACACCAAACTCAGCTCTTAAGTTTACTTAGATTGGTTTACTTTGCTCAAAACCTTCTCTCTTATCAAAGTCCTTGGAAGAACACTGTGACGTGGTCTCCCTTTCTGGAGACAAGGGAGGCAAGGGGATGACAGAACAAATGCTGCCTTCTAGCTCTATCTTTTCTATGTCTGGGCTCTCTGTGGGTTCTGGCTAAGCAGCTGCTATTACAGTGCAATAAGCAGGCAAAAGCTGGACCAGTCTTGGAATCACAAGATCTGAGTGTCAATTCTGGCTCCTCCATCTTCTAGCTGGGGTCTAAACCTTACTTTGCAAACTTGGAGTGCTTATTCAAATATAAGATATTAATTGTAAAGAGAATAAAGGTAAAACCCGTTGTTGTTGAGTCAATTCCGACTCATAGTGACACTAAAGGACAGTGCAGAACTGCCCCATAGGGTTTCCAAGGCTGCAATCTTTACAGAAGCAGACCACCACATCTTTCTCCATGGAGCAGCTGGTGGGTTCAAAGAGCCAATCTTTAGGTTAGCAGCTGAGCGCTTAACCACTGTGCCACCAGGACTCCTTGGGAATAAAGGCAGTCATTTTAAACCACTAATCACCCAGCCTACACTGTATCTCTCATGGAATCTTAGGACTTGGAGGAAGGTCTTTATATCCTAAACTCAAATGGTCTCAGAGCAGACAGACTCTGTTTCCCATGTATCACATCAACTGCCTTATGTCTGCGTATAAACAGGAAAAGAAAAACTTGGGTGCTGAGTTTGGAAAATAAAACTTGAACTGCAGAAGTTCTACTTCTCTTTCTGCCCACCCTGGAAATCCCACTCTCGACCCACGGCCCATCTCTATAAACTTCAACTTTTCTTTAGAAACCAACTTCCTGAAATGATAGGGGTTTTCCTCTAGTCTTGCAGTTAGTAAACGGCTAGGGTCAGCATCACTCACAGGTTTTGGGACAATTGAGATAAACCTCAAAAAATATAAATGTAGTAAAATGTCATGACCTCAGTAATTTAGAATTTGTTTTAGCCAAAAAAATGGGTGCACATGTATCATCACACTTTCTATGAAAATAAATTTATTGAACAAACAGGAAGAGGGTATGTTTAGTTAGTCTATTTGCAATCACTTACCGAGTGCTTCAAAAAGTCTACTTCTAATTAATGTAGTAATTGCACACAGTGGAACACAAGTTCAGTAGGATATTCATGGTGGAAAGGGAAGTTCTGAGGTCAAATGTATATGGAAAATGCAAGCTTGACAAGGCTTAATAAGTTTC